AAAGGGTAGGAAAACGAAATTCCAGCGCTCATTTTCTAGCTTGCACCCTAACCTCAAGAACACCAGTCTTCCGTTGAAAGGCACAAGAAAATTAATTTTCAAACTATATAAACAATCTTTCAATGTGCACCTGGTGGATGCATGCGGAGCCTATTTGGGAGGTAATTTAGCAACGTTGGGAAACTTGCTACGTAGTCGTGACATAGCAGATTCTTTCGGAGCAGCGCCGCTCTTTGGCATTTCAACATTTTCCTTCTTAGCTTCCCTCCTAGCTCAACTCACAAATCGCGCATTGTACCAAACAATCCAAGAAGACTGTAAGGAAGGACTCCCCTCTTTCTCGGACCCTCGTTCGTGCAACCGGACACATCCATTGTCCCCCTAGAAGATCAGCCCGTCGCTCAAAACTCGAACAAAAGTTGCTTTCCCCACAACGTTCAGCCCTAAGCTGACAGTGTTCTGGAAGCTATGTGCTTCTTGGGCCAGAAACATGCTCGTCACTCAACGGGTACTTCGAACGGCTTGGTTGTTACGCGCTGACACTATTGACACCACCACAACGCTGACAACGCCACCAAGGGCAAAGCTCATAACCACGCCAGCCTTGCTGTCACCAATGCGGGGAATCTTTTCCTTCTGTTTTTGTTTGCGCGGGATATCCAATGACGCATCGCGCTCTCCGTTCACTTCTCTTTGAGCGCTTGCTTGAGTGCACCGTTTGGAACAAAAAATATAGCCAGTCGTTTAAAATACAAACGTGTGATTATCATTTACGGTTATTATCTGTCATGCTTGACTCATTTCCGAACGAAATTTGAATATTTCGATTTTTGTACCCCTTTAATATACGATAGATCCTTGCCTGGTTTGTCAAATGGTTGGCGTGCAATATTCGCTGCAGAAGAAGTGATGAAAATGTCTTTAATTTATTATATTGTGAAAAAATTTTATATAGAGCTGAAAAGTTTTTTGTTTTTTCTTTATTATGAAAATATTAATGTTGTTAAGGGGAGGCATGTAAATTTACAGCTGATGAAAACTGTGCCAAACGAACTTAACTTAAAAAAACTTTACATAGAATTACCCCTTCCCTATTTTGAATTAAAAGATTTATAATGTCTTTCTGTACCTCACGCACTATTGTATCTTCAAGCAAATATTCTTTATTTGGAGATGAACAGTGTATTTTATACGCATTCCCCTGCACCTTGATGTTTGGCTTGGTGGTTGCGAAGTTCTTTTAATCGTCATTTTAACACAATCGTCATGACCAGTAACCTGCCATCTGATCTACACGAACGCAGTTCATTCCATTCTATACTTTTCATTGTTTACGATAATCACAGTCTACATGTCTTAGGTCCCAGCCCAGCATGCACATGTTCATCGCTTTGGAAGGCAAGCAATGTATGTGCCACATGCACGAACGCTGAAAATGGCATCGACCAGAAGCGCTTTTCAGAAATGGTTTACAGATCTTTTGCTAGATTACTTAAGCACCAAGGAGCATATTCATGCCACAAGAATAGTCACACGTGCTGACGCCTGCAACAGTAACTTTTCAAAAGAAAATCTAAAACAAATGGCACGTTCCTTCAGGTCATATGAGCGTGTGGGCATCTGTACCCACATTCCGAGCATTTTCCGCACTGCTTTGGCAATTCACAAAAATTTTATTGCGTGACTCTTCGACCTTTCTTCACCAGCCATCTTCTAATAAAAAGAGAATGGATTTACCAGCGATATCACGAAACTAGCGAGGCGCGGCTTGAGCGTAGCGAGTTGCAAAAATGGTTTTATGAAATTCTAATTGCTAGTTTTTCTTTTACTTTCTTATAGTTATGCACATAGACCAAGGCCATATTTTGTGCAAATACATATAATTATCAACTCTAAACAGCACGAACGCCCAGATTTTTTTGCTGTTAGACGCGAGAAAGGCGGGCGCGAGTGTACTCGATTGCCGGCCGCACGCCTTGCTGCACAAAGTGACGTGACGCTTGGGCGGCGGGGAAAACTGGGGAAAAACTAGGGAGAATGATGTTTCGGTTAACTAGAGTGAATCTGGGAGAATGAGATAGCATTTCGGAATCAGGAAGCCATCCGCATTCAGATTATGCCCTTGGATTAGGTAGCTCGAAAAGTCGGAGTTCTCCTTTAAAGGGGTACTCCGGCATTTTCTCCATTGTCCCCGATTTGCCTAAAACCTTGCTTAACACACCAACGAACATCGCTAAAATAGTAACCCAAATATTTGGCCAAACTAACTTTTTTTCGCGAAGTTACAGAATTTACAATTAGGGTCATCATCGTGTTCTTCAAAGTGAAAAGCTCTACTGGCAACATTAAAATAGTGACATCATGGGAAGGCAGGGGTTCACTCTTTGGGCTGTAGACTTTGTTTTCAACTGACCACAAACAGTTTCATGGCGTTAAAAGAATGTTTTGGTAGGTTGCTCCAGCTCCCGCGCAGCACGAAACAAATGCTCGGCATAGTTCATTTCTAGACAGCCCGCTCGAACCGCAAGCCTGCCATCCCGTGACGCAGGCACGTAGGCAGGGGGGGCCATGGGACCTGGGCCCCACCCCGAAATCTACCATTTTGCTGGGGCCTCCTCTCCCCCCTTGCCCTCATACAGCACTTTGTCATAAACAAGCCCCCCCCCCCCCCCCCCCCCCCCGAAACAAAATCCTGGCTACGTGCCTGCCATGATGTCACGGCAATGAAAAGCGAAAGTATACCGTAAAATACCGTGCGCATCCGCCCATTCCACATTAAGCGCCCATTACCAAATTTGTGAGATCTGAGCAAATATGTACAGTACATTTATATGTAAAATTGATGACCGGACAAGTGCCCATCCCCCATTTTTTTGCGATTATCTCCAAAGTTTGAGTAGGCGCTTTCCCGGTATTTTACGGTATTTGAATCTTGGTATTGGCGTCATTTTCATTTGCCGATTTCATAATAACTATTTTGAGTTTCGTGATAGTAAATAGCATACCGGAAAGAGTAAAAGATGGCGATTTCGAAAATGTGGTTAGGTGGGGTTGCCCAAAAAATCGCTGGATTTTTTAAGCAGGTCTTTTTTCTGCCAACACGACAGTGGTAGGAACATTACCTGTGTCGAGCTAGAGAAGCCATATTGGGGGCTACCCCAGCTACGTCCACACTGGCTTTCATGGCAGTTATGTGTGATGCAGACAGCTTTCACTATTTCAACCGAGTGCCTTGGCAAACACAGAAGCAGCCACATAAGACAATCAGGAAAAGACGCCGAGTTGTACAGGCTAAGGAGGAAGGACATAGTGCAGCGAGCTATCTAGTCCAGGCTATTCCTCTGAGAAATGCAGTCGGTGGAAATGTAGGTCAGTTATTCCCGCCATTAATTTAGGTAACTAATGCAAGCATTACACTATTTTGCATATTTCTCTACTGCAACGCTAGTCATCCGCAGCAGAAACAATGCCCCAAACTAAAAAGAAGTCTCATTGCATTGTTAACACAGACATCAAGTCCATTAGGAAAGGCCAGCTGTGCCATCCACCTGTTCATAAGCGAGCTGGAGTTCATCAAAACACAACCGAGAATCTCTCGGAAGTACTTGGTTCCTTTTCAGTAGTTATTGAATGAAAGCACAGTGCAGTGGTGATTACCATCAGCACAGCCTTGCCACTGGCACTGCTGTCCCTCGAATGGCACAGGCACGACATGGCCTGCAAGCCACATATATCCCTAAAAGAAAGCTGCATAGGATGCACTTACCGTGGCTAGCGTCGCCACCCAGCGAGCTTGCACAAACCTTCTGCATGGCACGCAGTGCTGTTCAGAACAGAGCGGCACTGGCTAGCCAGTTAATGCGAAGGCTTGTAGTGTCTTGCCGCTGCCTTGGCAAAGCTGCAAGTCACCTCTTTCACGCCTTGTGGTGCCCATCAGCTTCAAACGAAACGGTGTTGAATCGCGACCAGCTATAACCTGTCGCACAAGGGAGAAAAGGGTGTGAATGTGCAGACTCCTATCTGTTTGCTTTTGTCTAGCGTGTGAGTTTTGTTTGAGAAGAAAACAACAATGACACTTCTTTCACAGTAATATGCAAAACAAAAACGAGAACGGCTCGGTTATTAATAAGTTGTGTGCAGCAGAGGCACGGGTGCGAGGGCGTAGCTCCGCAGAATGTTCTTTTTGCACGGCTGCTCGTGCAAAAAGGGCGCTTTTGTGCTCGGGCCTGTGCCTTTTCTGCACACAACGTATGTTACAGAGTGTATAGCACGCCTTCGAGAGCACTCGCGTGCGGCGAGAAATCCATCATATACAGGGTACGATCGCAGGAAACCTCGCAGGGGTGCAGGAAGCTGCAAGTGCACGGTGCACCAGAATGTGAAACTAGAGGTGGTAATAGTATTTCACAGTTTGAGAATATGACGTTACTTGACGTAACTGCCTTACCGGCGGATGATAAGGGCCATCGGAGCACGACCAACTATTTGTTGTGATCGGGGCATTCGATTGGACGCGGGTTGGTAAAGATTTGAAAAACACGAAAGAATAAAACATGTAGGGACGAAGACAGACAGCGCAGTTCTTTGTTGACATAAAATGTAAGATCAAGCACATTATTCTGTCGGATCAAATGGTTTTGTTGAATTAGGTTTAGCTCGCAAGTCAGCCGTTCTTCGGCGGGCTTTCAGCTTTCTGCGATGGTTGTTTTAATCGTGAACGCAGGCTCAAACAATGTAGGCAGCGGCGCCAAATAGATCTGAAACTAAGAAACAGCTCGGACGCGTGGAACGAACACACACAGAGATCACATCACAGGAAAACTCAAACCACTCACCTTTCGTTCGACGACGGTACGTCAGGCACGATGTTTCCGATGTTTCTCCAGGCGTTGAGGAACGAGCGATTCGGAGGAGGAATAATGGCAGGTCACGTGACCCGACGTCACCGGAAGTGACGTCACAAATAAAACGTCACGTGACAAAAAAATTTTGTTTTGCTTGTTTTTGTTTGTTTTGTTTTCTGTGACGTCACGGTTTTTAGCGAGGAAACTTTTTCTTATTTTTACTTTGTTGACGTATTATTTTTTTTTATTTTGTTTATTTTCTTGCTTTTTGCAACCGCGGGACCGCGTTTCTGCGCTTCAGATTGCGTTTTTCCGACTCCTTTGTTTGATATCGTGTCGTATCGTCGTATTTATGTAGTTATTAGGAACGGCAAGGCCTACGTTGTTGCGTCCTTTACCTGAATATCGTGACCGAATCGAGTGTCGTCGATTTGAATCGTGTCTTGCGAACCATCGTCGAACAAAAGGTGAGTGATTTGCGTTTTCCTGTGATGTGATTTCGATGTGTTCGTTCCACGTGTCCGAGCTGCTTCTTCGTTTCAAATACATTTGGCGCCGCTGCCTATTGTTTGAGCCTGTGCTCACGATGAAAACACGCATCGCAGAAACCTGAAAGCCCGCCAAAAGAGCTCTAAAAACCGCATCCCAGACCTGCCGGCAGACTTCCGAGCTAAGCCTGATTAAACAAAAACGTTTGATCCGGCGGAATAATGTGTTTGATATTACATCCCATGTCAACAAGGAACTGCGCTGTCTGTCTTCGCCCCCAACAGGTTTTATTCTTCCGGGTTTTTCAAATCTTTACCAACCCGCGTCCGATCGTAATACCCCGATCACAACAAATAGTTGATCGTGCTCCGATGGCTCCAAACATCAGCCGCTTCTATATTTTGACCCAAGTAAACTCATGTTCTCAAACTATGTCATTCTGTCACCACCTCCAGTTGCACATTCTGGCGCACTTGCAGCCTCGTGCACCCTTGCGAGGTGTCCTGCTATCGTACCCTGGATATCATGGATGTCTCGCCGTACGCGAGTGCTCACGGAGGCGTGCTATACACTCTGTATCATAAGTTGTGTGCAGCAGAGGCGCAGGCCCGAGCACATGACAGTAAAAAGCGCCTTTTTTGCACGAGTACCCGCGCAAAAGGACATTCTGCAGAGCTGTGCCCTCGCACCCGTGCCTTTGCTGCACACAACTTACGAGGCAGTATAATAACCGAGCCGTTTTTGTTTCTTTTGCACATTACTGTGAAAGAAGTGTCATTGCTGTTTTCTTCTCAAAGAAAACTCAGAGACGTTAGCCAAAAGCAAACAGATAGGAGACTGCACATTCATATGTTTTTCCCCCTTGTGCTACAGGTGATGGCTGGTCGTGGTTCATCAGCGTTTGTTTTGAAACTGATGGGTACCACAAGGCATGAAGGAGGTGACTTGCAGCAGCAAGCCTTCGCAGCAACTGGCTAGCCAGTGCTGCTCTGTTCTGAACTGCACTGCGTGTCATGCGGAGGTTTTGTGCAAGCTCTCTGGGCGGCGACGCTAGCCACGGTAAGTGCATTCTATGCAGCTTCCTTTTAGGGATATATGTGGCTCGCAGGCCATGTCGTGCCAGCGAAATAAGTGCCACCCGAGTGACAGCAGTGCTAGTGGCAAGGCTGCGCTGACAGTAATCAACACTGCACTGTGTTTTCATTCAATAACTAGTGACAAGGAACCAAATACTCCCGAGAGAGTCTCGGTTGTGCTTTGATGAACTCCAGCTCGCTTATGAACAGGTGGATGGCACAGATGGCTTTTCCTGGTGGACTTGGTGTCCGTGTTAACATTGCAACCAGACTTTCTTTCAGTTTGTGGCGTTTTTTCGTTGCGGGTGACCAGCATTGCAGTAGAAAAAGATGCAAAATAGTATAATGTTTGCATTCGTTACCTAAATTAATGGCAAGAACAACTGACATACATTTCCACCGACTGCATTTCTCGGAGGAATAGCCTGGACTAAAAAGCTCGCTACACTATGTCGTTCCCTCTTCGCCTGTACAACTCTGCGTCTTCCCTCGGTCGTCTTATGTGGCTGCTTCTGTGTCTGCCTAGGCACTCGGTTGAAATGGGGAAAGCTGTCTGCGTTGCACATAACCGCCATTAGAGCCAGCGTGGGCGTAGCTGGGGTAGCCCCCGCTATGGCTTCTCCAGCTCGACACAAGTAACATTCCTACCGCTGTTGTGTTAGCAGAAAACAGACCTGCTTAAAACGTACAGTGCACATAGCACACAATGGAGAGGTTGCTCGCCAATCATTTTCTTGGAAGTGTGAGTTGAGCCGTTTCGAGGCAGTTTGCTTCCGCACCGTGCACTATAATCCGCCCGAGAAGAGAAAACAAGATGAATAACCAGTAGGATTTCTTTGTTCCAAGGCTTCTTGACGCAGAAAAAGACTAGGGAGCCAGTATTGTTGCTTTTTTGCTACCCCGTGCGAGACTCAAACCCGACATGCAAGGAAGTGGAAAGGCCTCTTCCTTTCTGCTTTCTTGTGCCTTGGGTTTTAGCTGTGTTCAGAATTCACAGCTCGCCTGCATGCCTACTCTTTTGTTCACTGTGTTACTGAAGTTTTCTGTCGTTGCTGTCCCAGATTGGCTTCGTGGATGCACAGAAATGCTCAAGGCGCTTGACGTCTGTGGCTCATCTGTATTGTTTTTCCCGGTACCACGGCATGAAGGAGCTGGCCTCCCTCTCTTCCATCAGCTGCGAGATACTACAAGCACTGGGCTACAGCTGCAGCTAGCCCATGGGTACCGTTCTGCGTCCTGTACTGCATCTAGTTCGAAAGGCCATGTGAAAGGCAGGTGTGGTCTTTATGGGCTCTGTCTCTATGTGCATTTTCTGCAGCTTTTTCGGGGCAACTTCATATTAAGATTCAATACGGACTCGAGTGAGAGGGGGGCATTCTGAGAAAGCCAGCCTCTTTGTTATACCATTGGGACTGGTATTATATCTACAGAGTTTATTTACACCTTTTGTTATGTACTTTTTTTATTTATTTTTATTTTACTAGTTACTTATACTTCAATCTGACACGACAGCCACCAAAAATGGGGAAAGGACAAAAATGTTGACATATTGGCCTTTTTGTTTTCTGGCAGTTTGTTTGAAGAGCCAGTGTTGGGGGCCGTCATTCGTGTTATTTTTCCCACACGCACATCCAGCCTATGTTTACGTAAAGCCCCAATTGCCCCTTAGCAACAAAAATAATTTATGCGACAGACTAGGCGGCAGCATTGTGGACGAAAACAGGCCAGATTATATCTGCCATGTTTAAAAACTACATTCGGTGACAGGTTATGAATTCAGTGGCAAGAATGCACACCGCCTGCCAATCACTGCTGTCAGTTGTCGTGACGTCACGTCCTGCTAAGAAACTAGTATATATTTTTTTTAAATGGCAGGTTTTGGTTGCTGATGCCTCGTAGCACGTCGGCACTCTAAGCAATTCTTCTGCTCTTGGCCTCTCCGGTTTTACTTTGCAAAGTCATGACGGCGTCTGCTTTTGTTTGCGGTATTTCCCGTGTGTCGACGTGAGAAGGCAGCGATTGTATCGCCAAGGAAGTAGCGATCAATCTGCGCATTTATTCCAGCGGCACAGCGTTTACAAACCGGACTTTGCCCTTCACCGAGGGGAAAGTCTACCGACTGGCCCTACAGTTGGCGAGCATTGTGCAGCCGTGAGCGCGTAACTTGTCTGAATGCTTTCGTCTGTATACAGTGACAAAATGACTCGCTGAAATGCGAAGTACCATACAGTACCATGCCGTACAGCAAACCATCGATCACTTGCTGCAGCAACTTTGCGTTTTAAGTCGTAATAATAAAGTGATTTTTAGGCTAAAATCATTTTTTCATACTGCTCAATTATTCGGAATTCTGCACGATCCCCATCGGGTCTGCAATATCGGTCGGTGGCTGTATAACCTTTAAACACAATGGTTACACACCACAGGTACCAAGGACCATGACATCAGTGAGCTGGCTTTCACCTTGTCCAAGGCAGCAGCGGAACACTACGGGCGGGACCCTGGATCACTGCACCATGGATGCCGTCCTGTACCCTGCACGGCACTGCGTGTGGCTTAAGTGGCCAAGCAGAGGGTCATTGCTTGACTTTTACGAGGCACCGCTAGCCATTGTAAGTACATTTTGGACACTCATGTCTGGTGATGTACTTTTGTGCTCTACCGCAGAGCACATTTGGTGGCGGTTCAGTCTTGCCAATTACACCATTTTGAAACGGAACACATTTAGTGGTGGCTCGGTTTAGGTTTCCTGGCTCGGTGATCTTGCAACAGTGTCTAGACTTGGCGTAAACCTTTTTGTACTTCATTGTCAAGGCTAGTGTAATTTCTGCAATGCCGTTGAAGCCACTTCTGCACGCAAACAAGATAAAAGTCGAAGCCACATGCTCGTGCACAGTGTATGACTAACATGTATGCATGGGCACTCGTGCCCATGCGTACCCACTCGCAACATGGAGCATGTTTGTTTCGGCCGACACTCCACGCGTTCATTTCGGCGTCGCCACTCCACACGTCTATGCACTCGCTGCACCTTGAGAATCAAGTGTGCACCAGAATGCACTCCCGTCATGCATCACTCGGGAGAGGAACAAGAGCAGACGACTGGGGTTTTTCCGCCATAAGGAACGAGAACCGAAAAAAAGGGGATTTTCTGCTAAGAAACTGCGTCCCACGGGCAGCAAAATCGGACGCGAGCTGGGCTATTTATTCTGTGAAGCAAGCAATCGACAACCTGTGCTTCATTTTCAATTTTTCTTTCAGTTTGTTGCCACACAGACATTGAAATACATCAATGGGATAAAGTAAGGTTCAGAACCAACATCAGCTACCGTGAGATCTCTCACCATCCTTGCGGGGTTGAAAAATTGGGACTTCAGTTGACAAACCTCGCCCGCCCTCCTGTCCATCATCACCTGACCCCATTCTGCATATGTGGGTATGTGCAAGGGAGCGTGATCATGTGGCTGAAGATACAAGTGCGACCGGCCCAACAAGCACATAGTTTCCACAGCACTGTCGGCTTAGGGGTGCACGGAAGATACTGTATAAACTGGAATATAGGTCGACCCCTTAATTTACAAGTTGCAAGATGCAAAAGAAGTTTTTATGGCAAGAAAACGCAACCTTACCTTGGTGACAAAATTGTCCAAGTATATGAAAGGACGAGAAAACACGGCAGATTTATTTAATTGTTTTGCACTCAATAAAACAGGAAGTATGCGAGTGTTACTACTCAGATTCCTCAGAGCCTTCGTCCGACGACGAGTTCACTAACACAATTTAAAGGGACGATGCCGTCCCTTTGAATTGCGCCCTCGAAAGCTCGGAGGCACGAGCAACCTCAACGCCTTTTATATGGATGCTCTCCGACATCACAGGTATCGATCTGGCGCACAGATCCCGAATAAAGTTTGCCGCCTTTGTTTCCAATTCGGGGTACACTGCAGTCCTTCCACGAAATTAAGTTTTCCTCGCCTTGCTGCACGCCGCCGGTTTTTGTCTCTGGTTTTGCCAGTAGCATATGCTTTTCTCCGATACACTGAACTCTCGCTGCGCTGCAAGATTCCGGTGGATCTCTGCATAGGCGATTGCCTTGTTCTAAAAGGCTACTGTGAACTGTCTTCTACTTCCGCTCATTATTGCTGCGGTAGATGTAACAAACCAAGGAGCACAAGTAAAAGTTAATCGTGACCATCGTGACAAGTGGACGAGTGCTAGGCCATTGCAATATAAAACAAAATGGCGTCTTCAGGCACTGAGTGTTGCGAGATTATTTTTGTTTTTCCGCTAATGACCGTCATATAAGACGAGGGTCGACTTTTTCAGGTCCAATTTCAAGAATAAATTCGACCTATATTCCGGTTTATATGCTAGTTGTGCATAGTACTGTGGAAGCCACAGGCTGGGGAGGGGGGGGATTAGCAACTTTTGTCTGAATGTTGAGCGACGAGCATCAAGGGCCAATTTCCTAGGGGGAGAATGGTGACGTGCGAGTACAAAAATGAGGATCCAAGCGCCATGAGCAAGAGGGGAGTTCCTCCTTTTCCTCCTCTTGAACTGCTAGAGGTATACTTATGCCCCTGTACCTTTGGTAACACTGCACAATTTGTAAGTTGAGGAAAGCTAAGAAGGAAGTTGAAGAATCGATTCATGACCCCTTTAACATTTACCTACACTAGTTACCTTGCACCATTATATTTTGTTTGAGAAAGCTCTCATCCTCACCCCTCCCTTAAGGGATAAAATCAGAAGTGTATACAACGATCGGAATCTAAAGTGCCACGAAACCTATTGCTGGACATTCTTACGGGTTAGTGATCAATTTTTGTATGAATGAGGCCTTACCAGTGCCTTTGCCTCAATAGTGTGGTAAAAGGGCAATTTTCTTGTTTGTGCGCACAAATTTGTTTTGAAACATAACTTGCTGGACTACCAATGCATGTTTCAAGATCTCTGTTGTGGTGAATGTTTTGCTGCCTGTTATATTCTTCAATAGCCAGTATCGTTTAAGTTCTAGAACTCTATACAGTAAACTCCCACTTGAGCAAACTTCTAGGGACTCAAAGAAATAGTTCCCTTAACTAGGAGTCCACTAAACTGAATATATTCACTGGATTATGGAACAGCATAGGGCGCAGCATACATTGAGTCAAAGGGTGAAATGCAATTTATGGAGTCATGTACATTGATATATACAAAGTGTATTGCAGTTACGCTGCTGCCTTTCTCATTTTGAAAATAGTCAATAATTTTCATTTGCACCGGCGCTCTGAAAGCGCATGAAGTAACAAAGTTGCCCAGAGAGTATCTTTTTTTTTTTTTTGCATATCCTCTGGCACAGCTAGTTGCTGTGAGGAAGTCATACCGCAACGGCACTGTCCACTGGCTTGAAATATTCAGTGCAGAGCCGTTCCCTGTTGGGATTGAACGCAGTTTCTCTTTCAAGCTTCGACTTTTGCTTCACTAACGTTGACAACGTCGACGGTAGCATCCGATAGTCCTTCGCAACATTCACTTGCCTTTGACCGTTGCCCAGACGCTGAAAGTATTTCAATTTGTCTGAGAGACAACCGCCTCCATTTCGTTATATTTATTACGTAAGTGGGCGCACAAACTGCCGTTGTTACCCAAAACTAAGATGGCCGAAAGGAACCAATAATAAAGAAAAGAAAATATGCACCGCATGGTTCGTTTTTGTCTACCGCACCGCTGCTGCAAAGGCGGCGGCGGCCATCAGCTACGCCAGCACTGCAGAGCACAAAACTTTGTTGAACTGATCACAACAGTAATCCTGGGTCCACCGATCAAGTTCGTTGAACTGAAATATTCGCTATTCCGAAATTCGTTTTTCGTAGAGCAAACATTTTTGCATAGAATGCAAAGGAAAACCACCATAGATTTTTGAAAGTTTGTTATTCTGAAATACTTGTTAAACCGACATTTGCTCAAGTGCGAGTTTATTGCACCCGACTACTGTGCGTTGCCCTACATGTTCGGGTAAGGTACTGTTTCTGTTTACCTAATAGGCACTTTCGTTCTCTGCATATACACCATAGGTTTCAAACCACCCTGAATCGTGGATCAAGCCTTGCAAGATGGAAGTTCTCTTTAGGCCCAGCACCTCTCGATGGATCAAGTCTTGTACCCCATTCCCTCGTGTCTTTCATATAAGTAAATTGTTGGTATTTCTTTTATGACAGTGCACGTTACCTGCGGACCACGTTTTACAGTCGAAACGCAGTGTACCGAAACTTCTTTTATATAGACCCCTTTCTTTGCAAGCGCCACCAGG